CCCACCACCCACATCAGCAAGTCTGCACACTAGAAAATTTCTCTCTATAGCCCCCCCCCAGATGTGTACCATCACAATGCATGCAACGAGGAGCTATCAATGGTCGGTATTTGATAGAAAAGTATCCGCACAACTGTTGTTGCTCCTTAAAATCTTGCATTTATTAGAAGACCAAAGTGTAGAAATTGCAAATACAAAAAGTTGATGCGTTTCAGCCTACACGGCTTCAGACTAAAGCCAGGTAGGCTGAAATGCGTCAGCTTTTAGCATTTGCAATTTTTACACTGCGGTCATCTAATAAATGCAAGATTTTAAGGAGCAGCGATGGTCCTGCAGATCCTTTTCTATCAAATATTGCATACAGCTGAGCAACTGTGGATCGAGCACCAGTGGTGTATTTAGGTTTTGTGGTGCCCAAGGCAGGCCAGAGTACTTGGTGTCATTCTGGACTCCAACCTATCCTTCCAGCCCCAAGTCCAATCATTAACAAACTCATGCAGACTCCACCTCCGTAACATCGCCAAAATCCGCACGTTCCTAACCCCAGAAACCACTAAACAGCTCATCCACTCCCTCATCATATCACAACTCGACTACTGCAACTCCCTCCTCACTGGCCTGTTTCGCCACAGGCTATCCTCGCTTCAGTCTATCCTTAGTACGGCAGCTAGACTCATTCACCTTACCATCCGCTCCGTTTCCGCCACCCCCCTCTGCCAATCCCTCTACTGGCTTCCGATTGCACAACGGATCAAATTCAAAATCCTAACACTGACGTACAAAGCTGTCCACCATACTGCCCCAAACTACATGCCCTGACTTAATATCCAAGTACCACCCAACACGCACACTCCGCTCCTCACAAGACCTCCTTCTCTCTAGTTCCCTGGTCTCCTCCTCCCTTGCCCGCCTCTAGGATTTCTCCAGGGTGTCACTCGTCCTCTGGAACTCCCTGCCCCAACCCATCAGACTATCACCTACTCTCCTCTCCTTTAGGTGCACCCTGAAAACCCATCTCTTCAGGGAAGCCTACCCCACCCCACCCCCTGCTAATTTCTGACCTCCTCCACTCTTCCTACCACTCCATCCCCCACAGCTATCTCCTCCTGTACCACCATCCCCTCCCTCCTAGATTGTAAGCTCCAAGGAGCAGGGCCCTCGACCCCTTGTGTATCGCATTGTATTGTTATTGTACTGTCGTATGTTCTGTCTCCCTTTGTAATGTACAGTGCTGAGCGAACTGTTGGCGCTTTATAAATACTGTATAATAATAATAAATGTTATATCCAGTTATATTCTGTATATCCAAGAAAGAATCCAGGACATTCCTACAGCAATCCACTGAGCTGGCCACAACCAACTCTTGAAGGAGTCTATTCCACATTCTCACAGCACTATTGTTGTATTTGTTTCTGGTATCATTGGTCAGCACCTCCATGTAAGCTCAACAACCAATCAGAATCTCTTCTTACTTCTGTGACCCCATTCAGAAAAAAAATAGACTCAGATGAGATTCTTATTGGTCAGCATGAGCTCTGGTTGTGAAATTGACTATCTGTAATTATAACACATTACTGTTAACCCCTAATCGGAAAAGATGGTTCTGGGAAGTCTGTAGATGAACATTACTTTTACTTCTTTACACAGGAACATAACAAAGTAGAAAAAACATCTGGTGATCCATTAACAACCAGCAGCCGTCTTCACAGGACATCACCCATCACAGTGCCTCCCCCTCACTGCCTGACAACAGAGGGAACCAGTGCCAAGAAGATTCTAGAAGTCACCCAGAAGATCATTGATCTGCTGACAGGAGAGGTGAGCAGTGCCGGGAATTCTGGGACATTCTCCAATAACAGACAAGGGATGTGTCTGGATGGTGACTGTATCATTGTTTGTGTCAGGTTCCTATAAGGTGTCAGGGTGTCACTGTCTATTTCTCCATGGAGGAGTGGGAGTATTTAGAAGGACACAAGGATCTCTACAAGGACGTCATGATGGACAATCAGCCGCCCCTCACATCACCGGGTAAGAGGAGACTTTATTGTAAAGGAGAGAGCAGTACGGAGGGTCCACCTAGATCCCCCATCATCTGATAAGCACATAGAAACAATGGATTCAGTCAGTGTGTGTGTTTCCTACAGATAGATCCAGTCATGGGAACCCACCAGAGAGATGTCCCTGTCCTCTGTATTCCCTGGATTCCACACAGGAAGATCACACCATCCCTCACCATCATGAGTAGGTGGGTAGAAAACAAGTTGACTTTAGACTGTATGAGATTCTACTCTTCTCTTCTTTTTTATATCTTTTCATTTGTATAGCATGAAGAACAGATGTATGTGAAAGTTAAGGTTAAAGAGGAAGAAGAGGAGACAGGTTATCAGTGGTCTACAGAGGAAGCCTGGATGCTGATGGCAACCAAACAGGAAGAACCTTATCTTGATTTAAGCACAGGTGGGTAATGAACACTAAATACAGAAACTATCCAAGTATGTAGACTGATAATTGAGGATATGCAGACCTTCACATTATCAGATAATATGATCTCTAAAGAACAACATGATGGAGAATCAGCCGCCCCTCACATCACCGGGTAAGAGGAGACTTTATTGTAAAGGAGAGAGCAGTACGGAGGGTCCACCTAGATCCCCCATCATCTGATAAACACATAGAAACAATGGATTCAGTCAGTGTGTGTGTTTCCTACAGATGGATCCAGTAATGGGAACCCACCAGAGAGATGTTCCCGGCCTCTGTATTCCCGGGATTCCACACAGGAAGATTCCACCATCCCTCAGCAAGATGAGGTACATGGGATTGAACATGGAGACCTAAAATATATTCCGAGCTATGAGATGACATTGTTCTATGTAATCTCCTGTTCCTTTTTTTTACAAATGCATTCCATCATTTTGGGGATTCAGGATGAAGAACTGAAAGACATCAAAATTGAGGTTAAAGAGGAAGAAGAAGAGACGTTGGTGAGTGGAGATCAGCAGTCTATGGAGGAGGGGGAGATGATTATGAGAAGTAAACAGGAGGAATCTTTTCTACACATAGATACAAGTAAGTAAGAAACACTAGTGAAGGCAGAAACCCATATAAAGCAGGATTTTTTCCAACAAGCGAAGAATGTATTCCTGATCCCAAATGCCAATCAAATAACTCCCTGGTTCAACATTCTAACATTTGTTTCCCTACAAAAATTGGTGACTATATAAATTTAAGAGATAGTCAGTAAAACCATTACCTGTGTCATACTATTCTACATTTTTACTGATCTTCTGCAAAGAATCCTTTCTATATACATAGAACATCACATCCTTTTGTAATGAAAGAATTAATAGTTCTTAACTGTTGATAATAAGAACATCATCGATGCGTCTACCCCTCAACCCAACATTTCCAACAAATTTGGTAGAGGTATTAGTGGCCATATGGTATACAAATCTCCAGTCCTCCTCTGTAGAATGTACTCTTTGCATACTGTACACCATATGGAAGGTCCATCTCCATTCTTCAATATAACGTCATGTTCCCAACAAATGAGGAGATACTGTATACCATATGGAAGGTCCATCTCCATTCCTCAATATAACATCATGTTCCCAACAAATGAGGAGGAGATACTGGACACCATATGGAAGGTCCATCTCCATTCCTCAATATAACGTCATTTTCCCAACAAATGAGGAGGAGATACTGTACACCATATGAAAGGTCCATCTCCATTCCTCAATATAACATCATGTCCCCAACAAATGAGGAGGAGATACTGGACACCATATGAAAGGTCCATCTCCATTCCTCAATATAACGTCATGTTCCCAACAAATGAGGAGGACATACTGGACACCATATGAAAGGTCCATCTCCATTCCTCAATATAATGTCACGTTCCCAACAAATGAGGAGATACTGGACAGCATATGAAAGGTCCATCTCCATTCTTCAATATAACGTCACGTTCCCAACAAATGAAGAGGAGATACTGGACACCATATGGAAGGTCCATCTCCATTCCTCAATATAACGTCATGTTCCCAACAAATGAGGAGGAGATACTGAACACTATATGAAAGGTCCATCTCCATTCCTCAATATAACGTCATGTTCCCAACAAATGAGGAGGAGATACTGGACACCATATGAAAGGTCCATCTCCATTCCTCAATATACCGTCATGTTCCCAACAAATGAGGAGGAGATACTGGACACCATATGAAAGGTCCATCTGTTTTAAAAAATCTACTGGTAAAGATAACAATATCCTCAATACACAAGCACCCTTACAGTTGTTTGGGTGTAATGTGTCCTGTATGTGACTTGTATTCATACTTTTCTGTTATGATTGCACATAATACGATGACAGAGGTCTGTGAAGTTGGTAAAAGTTACATCAAATGTTTGACTCCTGAATACAAGACTAGAAAAATTCTTCTCACACTTTGTAAACCTTGCTTTCCAACAGATGGACTCTGTGTACGGAGTATGGATACCTCAGAGGGAGACCTTTTCTTATTTCCAGATGATGAACAAGATAACGGGACAGAGCAACATTCTCCAAGAACAAGTTCCTTTGGTCACAGATCTTACTGTTTGGCAAAATCTTTGGATCCTTTAAATCCTGAGGAATCCTCTGATCGTTCACCTAACATGACTTCAGATATTCATCTAATATCTCACAATGTGGATAGACCAACAGATCCCTCTAATCCCGATGAGACTTCTTTAAGCCATGAAGGAGTTCATACAGTAGACAATTCATTGACATGTTTGGAGTGCGGGAAATCTTTCACTGACAGCAGAGCACTTCTTAGACATCAGAAAATTCACGCTTATAAAAATCCAATTTTCTGTTCTGAGTGCGGGAAATGTTTCCCTAACAAAGGAAAACTGCTTACACACCAGAGATGCCACACAGGTGAGCGTCCTTTTTCCTGTTCAGAGTGCGGAAAATGTTTTGCTCACAAAGGGGAACTTTCTATACACCAGAGAATTCACACAGGTGAGCGTCCTTTTTCATGTTCTGAGTGCGGGAAATGTTTCAGAGAGAAAGGAGGCCTTCTCAGACACCAGAGATGTCACACGGGTGAGCGTCCTTTTTCCTGTTCAGAGTGCGGGAAATCTTTTGCTTACAAAGGGGACCTTTTTATGCACCAGAGAATTCACACAGGCGAGCGTCCTTTTTCCTGTTCAGAGTGCGGGAAAAGTTTCACAGAGAAAGGAGGCCTGCTTAGACACCAGAAAATTCACACACAGGAACGTCCTTTTTCCTGTTCACAGTGCGGGAAATGTTTCACTCAGAAAGGAGACCTTCTTAGACATGAGAGAATTCACACAGGGGAGCGTCCTTTTTCTTGTGCAGAGTGCGGGAAATGTTTCACAGAGCAAGGAGGCCTTCGTAGACACCAGAAAATTCACACAGGTGAACGTCCTTTTTCCTGTTCCAAGTGTGGGAAATGTTTCATTGTGAAAGAAAAACTTCTTTTACACCAGAGAATTCACAATGGTTAGCATCCTTTTCCCTGATTGGAGCGTTGGAAATGTTTCATCTAGATAGAAAAACTTCTTTTACACCAGAAAAGTCACTCATGAGAGCAACCCTTATGAATGTTCAAAATGGGGAAAATATTGCATGCAGAAAGAAGACCTTCTTACACACAAGAACATTTACATGGCCTGGTGTCCATTTTTTCTCTTTGGTGTGTGGTAAAAATTTCACACAGAAAAACATAATACTTGGCCAAGAGAATTCACATTTAGTGAATATAATTTTTCATGGAAAGCAAGCCTTTTTGGACACCAGAAAATTCACTGATGTAGTAGCGTAAGATATGGAGTCAGTTTCAACAATTTTGTGTAGAATACTTTTGTACAGCTCTTCAGTCAAAAAATCCTTTCTGTTGTCAGAAATTAAACCTTTTCTCCTCCAAAAACACACCATCTGTTCTGCCCTGACTCCAGACAGAGAACGTCAGATCATCCAGTAAGGAAAAGATGATGAAACATGAACTGTTGACAGTAGAAATATTATTGATGTACCTAACCGACAACCCAACATTTCCATCAATGGTGGTGGAGATATTGTAGGAAATGTGATAAACAAACCTCCAGTCTTCAAAGAATGTACACCATATGAAAGGTCCATCTCCCTTCCTCAATATAATGTCATGTTCCCAACAAATGAGGTGGAGATACTGGACACCATATGAAATGTCCATCTCCATTCCTCAATATATAATGTCATTCCCAACAAATGAGGAGGAGATACTGGACACCATATGAAAGGTCCATCTCCATTCCTCAATATATATCGTCATGTTCCCAACAAATGAGGAGATACTATACACCATATGAAAGGTCCATCTCCATTCCTCAATATAAATCGTCATGTTCCCAACAAATCAGGAGGAGATACTGTACACCATATGAAAGGTCCATCTCCATTCCACAATATAACGTCATGTTCCCAACAAATGAGGAGGAGATACTGGACACCATATGAAAGGTCCATCTCCATTCCTCAATATAACGTCATGTTCCCAACAAATGAGGAGGAGATACTGTCTACCATATGAAAGGTCCATCTCCGTTCCTCAACATAACGTCATGTTCCCAACAAATGAGGAGGAGATACTGGACACCATATGAAAGGTCCATCTCCATTCCTCAATATAACGTCATGTTCCCAACAAATGAGGAGGAGATACTGGACACCATATGAAAGGTCCATCTCCATTCCTCAATATAACGTCATGTTCCCAACAAATGAGGAGGAGATACTGTCTACCATATGAAAGGTCCATCTCCATTCCTCAACATAACATCATGTTCCCAACAAATGAGGAGGAGATACTGGACACCATATGAAAGGTCCATCTCCATTCCTCAATATAACGTCATGTTCCCAACAAATGAGGAGGAGATACTGGACACCATATGAAAGGTCCATCTCCATTCCTCAATATAACGTCATGTCCCCAACAAATGAGGAGGAGTTACTGGACACCATATGAAAGGTCCATCTCCATTCCTCAATATAACGTCATGTTCCCAACAAATGAGGAGGAGATACTGGACACCATATGAAAGGTCCATCTCCATTCATCAATATAAAATGTCCATCAATATCAACATCATGTTTCCAACAAATGAGGTGGTGGAAGGTCCATTTGCATTCTCAGTACAAATCCTGTATCATCATTGCACAGACGCTGTTATCTGATGTGATTTGAGTGTATTGTATCCTGTATGTGATTTGTATTTATTGTTTGTAGTGATGATTGCTCCCGATTCCAGGACTCTGTGAATAGTTGGATGCTGTACCAACAGATATGACTTCTGAATGTAATACTTGACGTACACTTAACATTTATTATATCCAGATGTTCTGTAGATAATGATTATTAGTTACATTTGTCAGTAGATGTTTTGTTGGAATTATACTTTTTAGCGGTGCACCGAAATGAATATTCTGGTGCCGAAACCAAAAATTCAGGATGCACTTGGTCGAAGACCAAAACGGAAATGGACAGTTATTAACAATGTATATATTCTTCAAACGCAATTCTTTTTGGAAAAAAATACACTTTAACCCCTCCCCCTCCAGAGGATTTCCCTCCCTTCCTGACCAGGCCATTTTTTTGTGATACGGCGCTGCGTTACTTTAACTGACAATTGTACGGTCATGCAACGCTGCACCCAAATGAAATTTACGTCCTTTTTTTCCCACAAATAGAGCTTTCTTTCTCTAGTATTTGATCGATTTTCATATTGGCCAAAATGTTTCGGCCGCCAAAATTTCGGTGCATCCCTAATACTTTTTGGTATTTGTAATATACTTCAGGTATGTTCATCATTATGTTTCTTTTTATTTATGTTAAAAAGAATGGTTTGGTATCGTAATGAAAGAGAAACTAAAATGTAAATTGTGGAGATTTCTCGATATTGTTCAGAAAATGGAAAAAAAAAAAAATAAAAATGGCTTTCCAACAAATAATCACAGTATAAAGAAAAAGAACACCTTAGAGCAAGATTTTATTTTATTTCCGGATTGTTACGCATAAGACGGTATAAATGCCTGTCAAGATATACAGTACTGTGCAAAAGGCAGGTGTGAGAAAAATTCTGTAAATGAAAATGACTCTTATGCAGGCCATATATGGGTCGAATTCCGAAAGATTTATAGGTCTGCAAATCGAAAATGTTATTCGCTCGGTAATCCGATGGCGCCATCAATGATTTTGAAATTCGGCCGAGCGAGTCATAAAGTTCACCCCGTATAACAAGCGACACTTCTGTTCCTTCAAGGTCACGGCTCACTCGCATATTCTTTCTGGAAAAACGGTCGTATGATTTGACCATCATTGAGCCGAAAATCGGTAGTTTTTCATGAATTTTCCAACATGCCCGATCACCGAAAAGGGGAGGAATCATGAAAATTGACCGGTGCTATTGACCCATTAATCAGGCGATTATTCTTAGGTCCGATTTTCGGATGAAAAATCGGTCGAATTTCGACCCATGTATGGCCGGCATTAGATTGTAAGCTCCGAGCTTCCAGCTAACCCTCTTGTATTGAACTATATTGTTGCTGTATTGTCTCCCTTTATATTGTAAAGTGCTGCGCAAACTGTTGGTGCAATATAATTCCTGTATAATAATAATGAGGAATGCTTTCAGAAACATAAAGGTTAAAAGATTATTTTTTTATCAATTACCAAAATGGAAAGTAAACAAAATCTAATATTTGGTGTGACCACGCTTTGTAGGAAAGCATTGGAAGTGGGGTGCAGGGGCGGACTGACCATTTGGAAACTGGGGCACTACCCGAGGGCCCGGGGTCAGTAGGGGGCCCCATGAGATGACCCTGGTACCTTTTTCGTAGGCTTTTTTAAGTTTGGGCAAGGACACAGGGGCCCCATGATCCCCTATTGCCCGAGAGCCCCATGAGTTGTCAGTCCGCCCCTGGTGGGGTGTAGAAAAATGGCAGCAGGTGCTGTGGATCGATGAGTCAAAATGTGAAATATTTGGCTGTACCAGGAGGCAGTTTGTTGGAGAGCGGTACAACTGTGAAGCATGGTGGAAGTTCCTTGCAAGTTTGGGGTTGCACTTCTGCAAATTGACTTGGAGATTTGGTCGGAATCAATGGTGTCCTAAATGCTGAGAAATCTAGGCAGATACTTATCTATCATTCCATACCATCAGGGAGTGTGTGAAATTTATTCTGCAGGAGGACAACCACCCCAAACATCCAACCAATGTCAACTATCTTCAGTGTTCACATACAGTCAGGTCCATAAATATTGGGACATCGACACAATTCTAACATTTTTGGCTCTATACACCACCACAATGGATTTGAAATGAAACGAACAAGATGTGCTTAAACTGCAGACTGTCAGCTTTAATTTGAGGGTACTTACATCCAAATCAGGTGAACGGTGTAGGAATTACAACAGTTTGCATATGTGCCTCCCACTTGTTAAGGGACCAAAAGTAATGGGACAGAATAATAATCATAAATCAAACTTTCACTTTTTAATACTTGGTTGCAAATCCTTTGCAGTCAATTACAGCCTAGAACACATAGACAGCACCAGACATCCCAATATTTATGGACCTGACTGTATATGCGGTGCGGTATATCGCGTGTGATTCGCACAGGAACCGCACCACATTCCTGTGCACATCACATGCGATTTGTGTGCGGTGTGATTGGAGCCCTACATTTTGTATGGCTCTAATCGCACCTGCACCAAAAATGTAGAGGACCCTTGTTTGGGTCCGCACTAGAATCGGATCGCATGGGTATTCACACCTATGCGATCCGATTCTGCACATCGCACCGCGTTTTGTGGAAAACTTTCGGGGTGTTAACATACACACCTGCAGCGGTTCGCATGAATGGGGTGCGATTCTGATGTGGTGCGGAATTTGCACTGAAAAAGCAAATTACGAACCGCGTCAGTGTGAACCGGGGCTAAAGAAGAACAAGGAGTCCTGGAAGTGATGATTTGCCCCCCACAGAGCCCTGATCTCCCCATCATGGAGTCTGTCTAGGATGACACGAAGAGACAAGGATTGGAGGTGGCCGACACCCACAGAAGATCTGGGCTCAGATCTCCAATACACACAGAGAACAACCAACCCGTTGACCTAAATTTATGACCTCCTACTCTCTAGCTCCCTTGTCTCCTCCTCCCATGCTCGTCTCCAGGACTTCTCCAGAGCCTGCCCCATCCTCTGGAACTCTCTACCCCAATTTATCAGACTATTGCCTACTCTGCTCACTTTTAGGTGATCTCTGAAAACCTCTCTCTTCAGAGAAGCCTATCCTGCCCTCAGCTAATAATGGAATCTTCTATTCCTCCTACCAGTCCATCCC